GGAAAAAGTTGTGTGATTTGAGAAATGATTCGGTTGTGTAAAGTACGGCATGGTTACGAAAGTATACTCTTATTAGCTCCTACAGGCATTGCAGCTAATAATATTGAGGAAGAGATAATTCATTCAGCCTTTCGTTTTAATTTGAATCGATTTGGTGAAGTCAGAGAATTATCTGGAGAGTCTAGAAAATCTGTTCAAGAAATGATGTTAAATATAAAAGCCGTAATATGCGATAAGTATGGCACGATAGGCCAAAGAATGCTCGCAGCAATGGACAAAAGGCTTCGTCAAGGTAATCCAGAACTATCTAACTAGCCATTTGATGGTTATATGGTATATTTGTTTGGTGATCCTAACCAATTACAGCCAGTTAAGTACCGAGCATTATACATGGAAGCTGGTGTGAGCGAACTAGCAATTCATGGCTTAGCAATGTTTATGACTTTTGACAAGGTATTTTAACCAAAACCAATCATGAGACAGATTGGAGACAAAACGATTTAGAGAATGTGCTAAACAATATCGCTAATGGTGTGATAACCATGGATGATTATAATTTCCTCGAAACACGATTCACCTGGACAAATCGAGAACAACTACACTGTTGTGAAAATGTATTAAGAATTGTAAGCACAAATTCTGAAATTGAAACCTACACTCTGGAAAGATTAAAGAATACTGGAAACCCAGTAACGGTTATAACCGCCATAAGTAACAATAACGCTTCAAGCACAGCCGATACTGACGACTGCCAAGGACTCCCAAATACACTCAAGCTTGTGTGTTGATTGCAGGGTTATTTAAACAATAATTTGTGGACGTCAAAAGAACTCTGCAATTGAAGTTTGGGGACAGTACATGAAATAATTCACAAGACTTCAGATTTTGCTAACCACTTAGAAGATATACTTTTGTGTTTTGGTTCATTTTGACAATTACAAAGGTCCACAATTTTTAATGGTGTAGTTCCCATTACACCTGTTATTGTCTCTTTTAAATGCAATGGAGTGTCGTGTGTCAGAAAACAAATGCCATTACAGCTAGCATTTGCTATCAGCGTCCACCGGAGTCAAGGGATAACAGTGAAGAAATGTGTTGTTGACATTAGCAAAAAAGAGTTTTCTCTTAGATTGACGTATGTAGCATTATCTATAGTTCGACAACTGGATGGACTTTTATTACACTCATTTCCTCTATCAAGACTAGTTGGTATAAACAACCATAAATTATTTTCAGCAAAGAAAGCTGAGTTCAACCGATTCGAAGGGTTGAAATGAAGACAAATGTTAAAGTTGCACAGTTGACTTTAAAATTTCAAATTTCCCATCCTGTTTTATACTTAAATGCTAGTTTTTTTTACTTGTTGTTTTTTATACTTAAATACTTTTTACCGATTTGCAAGGGTAAAAATAAGTCCAATGTTCGTTTTTTGTAAAGTTGAGTTTAAATGTAAAATTTTCCTCCCCTTTTTTATACTTTAATACCCATTTTGCATGTTATCATCAGAGTCCCAACTACTGTAATTTAATCGACTTTCGCAAGAGGTACATTATGAAATTATTATAATTTTAATCAATAAGACAAGCATTAGCACATATACTGTTTTTTTTTTAATTATACAAATATTAAATCAAGTTTTCTCCGCTCAAAATGGCTTTCACTGCTCTGGAAGCAATCCTAGTTTAAGTGTTTAAATTCTTTAAGATTTTTAGCTAATTTTGCTATTGATAAAGCCTTAAATCTAAATGTATCTACAAATGAGAATTTTAAAAAATGTTTAGATTTATCATCTTCAAATTCATATCCGTACCCAGAATTAACTGGATAGTTTATATATTTTTCATCATTGTTTGCTATTAAGTAAATTTTACCAAATTGTTTAGAAAATTCTTTAATAAACAAATTTGTATCATAGTTTGAACTATTATGACAGAATATATGAATATTTTGTGGAAACTTAAGATTTAATTTACAATTTTAATGTGCTGCACCTCTATATTTTCCTGTTAAATGACAGTGATCTCTTACGTTTCGTCTTTTGTCATTATCAAAACCTCTATTTTCACAAATATGACATATATTTGTTTTACAATTTTCAATTTCTTAGTTTTCAGTCAATCTCATAGGATTTTTGTTTCTTGAATTGTATTTCTTAGCTATATACTTTGAAATCTTGTCTAAATATTCAAATAATTTATTTGGTACATTTACCAACTCTTCTTCCGTTTTTGCTCTATAACAAATTGGTTTATACATTTTATTAGTCATTCTAGAAACCAAATAAATCGTAAATCCATATATGTATATGTTTCTGAATTTTATTTCTATATAAGTTGTTTGGATTATTTTTACGAGTATTAATCTTTCTCAAAATACTTTCAAAATCCATATAAATTAAATAAGAGTGTTCCTTTTTTTAATAATAGTTTTTAAATTCAACAGTTTGACCAGGAAATGGCATAATTGGTGTACAAGGTCCATGAGATTTACAAATTATTGAATGATTACTCAAATCACTATTTTTATAAAAATGAGTAAAATATCTTCTGCCAATTTACTTTTTATGGCTGTGTTTAGGTGTTGTTTTCAATTGAAACTAACCTACTCAAATCTAAATAATTGTCACAATTTTTATGATATAACAGATCAATAAGTTAAAGTGTGTGTGAAAAATGTGTCCGTAAAAACTCTCTTTTACAGGCTGCAGGTTTTGCTCTACACACAATTCAACGTACATATCGTACATTTTCTTCAAAGCTAAGTCTGGGCTCAAGTACTTAACGTTTAGACACTTTATTCTAGAATAATGGCTGGTGTATCTAGGAAGGGATCTGATATGATTTTTTTACGAATTCGATAGTTTGGTCGTCGAACTTGTTTGATGGTATTTTAATGTCCCCTTTTGTCTTTGTAAGCTATTAAGTTAGGGCTGGCCATTTTTTGGACGATAACGTTAGTTACCTGTTTGTTACTAATGTCCAGTGTTTTTTAAGAAAAATTACACACACTCTGTGACCCTCCAGTCCAGATGATAGATACAACTTGTTCTCTTTACATAGTTTGCATTTTGTTTTTTTGTTACTGGTTCTTCTAAAGTTATAGAAGATAAAAATGAAGTCTGAAGATCCCAGCTGCCAAGTTTCCAAAAACTATCGAAAATGGATTTTTGTAGTTCCTCAGATATATTATTGTTACAATGGAACCTGCATCTGTGATTGTATACCTGCACTTCCTTTTTTCAGTGTACTTTGTCCTTGCGGTCGGTGTATGCCGCTCCCTGTATGTAGACTAGGGCTTTAAAAACTGCAGTTTTTTGCTATTTGGGTGGTTAAATCTGCTGGTATTGCTAGATCTGACTTTATATGAAGTGTCTGTTCTATTGTCATCTGGTTTGTCACAATGACCAGCCCTGTTGTCAGGCACATCAGGGTTTTTTTAAGGAATCTAAAGAGTGGTAGGAAAATCCACCACCTCAACGGTTACACGCTCATTACTAAAAATTAACACACGCAACTTCTAAGTCATTGTCAGAAAATTTGTTCACGTCAAATGGATAATCCCTACTGATTTTAATCCCGATACAGCGTTGCTTATTTTTGTAACTTTATATGGACACTGCTCAAAAGTTTTACCACATCATATCCGTGATAATGTGATATTCCGAGTCAGTGAAAGGTGTGTGGATGAAGTGACACCACGTGATAAAAGTTGCTTTGCAAAACTCACAGACTCCAATTGATACGTGGCTACTGTGGTTATCAAGGAAAAGCAACACAGGATAATATTTCAGTCTTGTTAACATGAATTTGAAGTGAGAAAGCTACTTGGTAAAACTTAATATATAATGGTAAAGCATAATGAAACCAATATACAGGACACGCTTGCTGGAAAAATCACCGGCCGCCTAATCTGGTGGAATCGGCAAAAGTTGATATATAGAGGAAGGGGAGAGACACTCTGCAAAACCGCTGGATACTCTCGCCCGCAGGTAGAAGGGATTGTACAAATGGAGATGGGCACACGTCCCGGCGAAAGAGCCGGACCTTCCCCTGCCCTCCTCCGCAAATAAATGATTTCATATAGGCTATAAATTAAGGAGTATTATTACCTTAATTTTACTGATAACATCTCTTGTGGATAGTTAAAGTTTGTCATATAAGTGTCTTGTCCCTGTATTTTAACTCATATCTTGTTTAAAAGCTCGTCAAATGTAGTCACATACATACGAAAATAATTAAAAAAACTTATTTTGGTTATTACTGAGCTGTAGAAGTATAAAATGTTCCATAAACTCAAAACAGTTTTGGCCGAGATCAGCGTGTACTGATTCAACCTTCGCCGGCTCCGTCAAGCTTGAATCAACCTTAAAACAAACTCGTCAAAGGGTCCATTAATTCCTACCCTTGTCATTTAACTACCTCGGGGGGAATTCTGCGCACCATTTACTAGCCCATCGCGCGTTAACAATTATTTTAATTCATCACTACCAAATGAAGGGCTGAAATATCATGTTAATTGAGCCATACTATATGAAAAAGACTATTATTTATTAGAAAACTTAGTTAAACCTACAAAAACAAACTGTCGTGTCTTACCTTCCTATTTGCACAACACATTACCACTTTTTAAAGTTTACCTCACATAACCTCATGTTCGGCTAGCTGCGACCACGCTGCAAAGTTACAGTTGTTTAGACTGTCGCTTGGCTGCATCACCAGCAGTAGCTTCATTCATGACAAGCTCCATTTATGGGGAAAAGAATGCGCGCACAATTACCTACCGCGTACATTTTTCCCTGCTCAACATAATCTTCTTCGTGTTTACTAGTGTTTCATTGTATAAGACCATAGGCAAATAGAATAAATATGATAAGACTGTCATCTTGTAATTGAATATTAAGGGTGTAAAGGCTGTTCAGTATGAAACAATTTAGAGTAATCCTATGATTGTTATAATAAAAAGTATACTCTATGTTTCAATGTTGATCCTCTATGTATCAGCTGATGGGTGACACCTGTACCCGAGGATGCAGATTTTGCTCTGTAAAGACATCAAGAACCCCCCCTCCCTTGGACCCCCATGAGCCCCTCAACACTGCCACGGCCATCGCTAAGTGGGGTCTTGACTACGTGGTGCTCACCTCAGTGGATAGGGATGGTGAGTTCGAATAAATTACAAATTACCGTAATTTGTATACTCTGAGGACAATGAAAATAGTATCATTCGACTAAAGAGTACCATGTAACATGTGCATGTGAATGTACCAAAGTACTTCTGAAACAAACCTATGCCTAGAGGTTTTAAGTTTTTTTAAGTGTTTTTGATAAATTTCAGTTGTAAAAGACCCAATTTCTATTTTACAGATTTACCAGATGGAGGATCAGCTCATTTTGCAGAAACTGTGAGAGAAATCAAAAGACAGTGAGTTTTGTTTAGGTTAGATTTTAAATAAGGTGTTTAAGTCTTTAAGTGTACCTCCTATACCTGGATCTAAACTAGCTATATTTTTATAAAATTACAACAACAAAAACTAAAACGTAAACCTATGGCTTTCTTATCAATTTTAAAATAAAAATTACATTATTAATCGCTCACACTGCAGCTTTATTCATATAAGACATAGTCTTCTCAGCTCGATTAGAAAATATAGAAAATAATCTTCTGATCTTTTGTTTTCTAGTCAGTTTTTGCAGCCCGATCGAGTTTGTTTTTGCTTGAGAAATGAGATGACAGTGACAGTGTATTCATATTGCAGTATTTTCTATGTATTCCAGTTGATGATAAAATGTCATCACTTAAATTTATACAGTGAACACGAGTGAAATCCCTATATTCTCTCGTGTCTTGAAATTCAGCGTGACTCACAATTGCTCTTTATCAGATGGCCTAAAACTAATGAGAAAATTCTACGTGAAACCTGAATTGTCTATTGGTTTTTGCTGAACCTGCTAGTTCTACAGGCTTAGGTAATTTGGCGATCATGTCCTCTCTTATAGCATCAACCACCTCATCTGACTCCATTGCAAATTTACTGGTTAGTCCTAAGTGTTTATAACACTGGAGATGAACCCCATGTTAGCCCATGTTTGTCATTGAACACTAATTTATCACGAAATTGTCTGGTAGGCCTTTTTTGGTGAAAGAAAGAAAAAACAAAGTCTTCTTATGGAAAGATATTTTTATTATTTGATCTGACACATCGCCTCATGATTGTGTGGATGCCAAAACTGGTCTTGAACATCAACACTAGCATACCCTTGTTGTAATCAGTCTCTGATTTAGGTTTTGCAATTTGTATATTGTTTCCCTTATTATTACTATTTCTTTGTCAGCAGCAAACTTATCACCTTCATGCATTGTTGATAAAACATGTACATATTTTTGTCAAGCCACATAATTGATTAATACCGGAGGACTGAGCCTTGCTCGGTTGTGGTTTATTACAATCTACACTTGATTACTGAAATAATAACAACTCCTTAACCCTGGGAGCTAGGGCGGCCTGAATAATGCAAAATTGCTCGGCGCCCTGGCAAATTTGGCCATTTTCAGAGTTTTTTTTTAAATAAATTCGTAAAAATTTATTTTTCTTTATTGTTTAGGTGAAGTGGTAGAACATTATGGCTATGGTATATGTGTAATACCATTAGTATACAGTCAAATTAAAGAAGCATATTCAAACTTTGTCTTCCCCCATCGCAAACGCAAAGCTTGAGTATAACTGCAATAAGCATTTTAAACTTATATACCAACCCCGTACGAAGGACGGGTACTCTGTTACTAAATATATAATTCTCAGATTGAGAGGATGGTCTTTTGATTTGCATTTGTTCTTGAGGTAGTCTAACTTGGTGGCAATAGTCTCACCATTTTCATTCTTAAGAGTTATGCACCAAAGGATAGGCATCGATTTTTCTGCCTCTGCCCTGAAAATGATAAAATGTATATTTTGCAACCTTTTCTCAATCCCCTTGTTTGCTTTTTCACGACACATCAAACAAGGAAAGATGCGTTGCTCTTTTAAATGTTTTATTTTCATTTGTACAGAAATTATAAAACACTCACGATGAATTGTCCACAGGAATGCCAACATAATGGTGGAGTGCCTAGTACCAGATTTCCGTGGTGACGAGACTTGTATAAAGACCATCGTAGACTCTGGCCTTGACGTGTTTGCGCACAACGTAGAGACTGTTGAGCATCTTACTCCTTTTGTCCGAGACCGGAGAGCAAACTACCGGTACTTGTCAAGATTTTATAACGATACATGAATTTTATTTTATTTATTAATCCGATGATCACATAGCCTATTGTATCAATGTTTATTAGTGGTTAAATTAAAAGATTATTATAACTTATAATTATATTTAAAAGTCTCTCCATTTGAACTACTATATACCTACAATATCTCTTGTTTTAATTCACCTCTCGTGTGTTGAACAGACAGACTATGAAAGTTCTGAAGACAGCTAAGGACTGCAACCCAGACCTGGTGACTAAGTCTTCTATCATGCTGGGACTTGGAGAGACGGATGATCAAGTCATGGAGACTCTACAGGGTGGGTTGAACAAAAATAAGTCTAAGAACCCATTTTTGATTGGAAAGATACTTTTCACAAATACATCAGGTCAGCAAGAGAATTAGTGTCTTCTTAATAGGGTGTCTATAGCAAGGGTGTCATGATAGCTACCAGATATCCCCATCTCCTGGAAAGTCTCCAACATTTCAGTTGAAATACCTTCAAAACCCCGACTCTTATGTGACTGCTACATACACCACGATTATTGTTGTTCTGATGAATATTTTCATTGCCGATTTATGCTAGAATAAGTTGCCAAATGTTTATTTGCAGTCACAAAGTCTGAAATGACCTCCCGGAATTTGTGAGGGCCGGTAAAACCTGAATTGTTCTACAACAAGCTTCTGTGGCAAGAAATGTGACACTTTAATACAAATTTATTTGTTACAAGTCTTGCGCCAACATGCCAAGACCCTTTTAACCTTGATGTTATTGATTGGCAGAAATTAGAATGAAGTAAATCAAATCCCATCCAAGTCGTTGACCCAAGACGACTTGTTAGATTCAAGTTACTCTCAACGTAATAATGATTGTTTACAGATCTCCGCTCTGCTGGTGTGGACTGTGTCACTTTAGGACAGTACATGCAGCCTACAAAAAGACATCTCAAGGTACAATAAACTATTTTTTTTTTAATATGTATCCCTAAGACCTCAATTTCAGTCTTTCTCACGAAACCCCACAGAATTACTGGGAGCCTTCAGTTAACAATTATTGTTTTAGCCTATATATTTACTAACAGAAGTGAAATTGGTCCCAATTTCACACCGTTTCTAAACCGTCTTTTTTAACAATTAGAATAACTGTTCATGTTTTTTTAGTAAAAATTGTGTGAGTCAAAATATTAACTCACTGACATGTTTCTAGAAACATGATTTTTATGACATGAAGAGAAACACCCGGTCTGAAAAACCACTATGAAATTTAATTGACAAAGAAAGAAGGTACCTAATAAAAGATGAATTGTAAAATAAGACGCATTTCCCAGTCAGTGTGTGTGTTTTGTTCCTGGAAACAGCCCTCTGTTACGTAAGGTAAGGTTGGCGAGTTCTAAATCACCACATATTTTATAAGCCCTGTTACTGTTGCAGGTAGTAGAGTATGTGACCCCAGAGAAGTACAAGCACTGGGAGACTGTGGGTACAGAGATGGGGTTCCTGTACACAGCCAGTGGACCTCTGGTACGCAGCTCATACAAGGCTGGGGAGTTCTTCATCTCCAGCATACTCAAGAATCGCAAAGCTTCACAAGGGCTATGATTTAGACATCCACTGTATAGACAGCTGTTGTAGTCAACGTTACTGTAAAATAAAATTGTTAATTTTGTCTCTCAGGGTGTTTTTACTACCTTATCAGTGTTTTTATTTGGTTAAGTATTTAACCCTTCAAATTGGGATTAAGTTATTCCACTTTGTGGCTATAATACGGAGGAAACATTTATAAAGCTGACACCGGCATTGACCTCTAAAACATATTGGTGGTGTGAGTCATTGAAGGTACAGCCAAGGCCCATGATATACCGGGATGGAATACAATTGTACAATACCTCTGTAGGGGTTTGTGGGCGTCTTCCAAAATTCTTCTCCAGCTTCCCTGATTTGGTTTTTGCCCATGTATATCTTCAGAAGTCCATCCCAGTTATCATGTTTTTCATTCAACCACCGCCCTTGAGGGTCGAACTACTACTGATGGAGTAGGGCAAGTGCAGGTCCGGCTGTTTGTCGGGACGATTGTTTATCTCCAACTGCCATAGGAGATTACTATGAAAAAGTCTATATAATTAATACGTGAACACGAAGTTTGTCGGTTGAACTCCTCCGCCAATTCTTAATCGATTTTATCCATTGACGTCTCATTGGAAAGAGCGTGTCGCGTAGATTTGCAAACTGGTCTTACATTTTTGAAAAGTCCCTTGGGCTCTGCCCCAGTGGCTTTGAAAGTTCCAATGTTATCCGTATGAAGAACATAATTGTTTACATTTTGACCAGCTGTATAATTTAGTTGCTGTTATTTATTTTTCAATATAATGAAACGCATTGGGTACATTTACTGATTTTGTTGAAATTAAATATTTACTATTTCAATTTCCATTCGTACATATTACAATGTAAAAAATCTAGAAAGCCTGGACAGTTTTATATACAGGGCGTTTATAAAAGAACTAGCTGTACCCGCGGGCTTTGCCCCGTTTAACTTCTTTATTTTCAAGATGAGCTCGTTCGCATGGCTCAATTACGTCCTGGTTGAAGTTCGTTCGCTACGCTCACTCACCTTTAGGTTGGAGCTAGTTCGCTGCGCTCACTTGCCTTCAGGTTAGCTCGTTCGCTACGCTAACTCGCCTCCAGGTTGAAGTTCGTTCGCTACGCTCACTCACCTTTTGGTTGCAAATAAGCTGTTGTCATAAATTAAAAAAAATAGTGCTGCACCCTGTTGGTAATCCTTGTAACTTTAATGCTATTGAACATCATAGAACAGAACCAACTTGTTTAATTGAAACAGCTGATAAGATTCATTAATTCCTTTTAAATATGAAAAATCATAAGGTTAACATGGGTAACTCCAAAGCCACTGGGGCGGAGCCCGAGGGTCCGATCAGAATAAAAACAACTTAGTTTTCCTATTTAATACCTAAAGAATTGGTGTGCCAAATTTCAGCCTCCTAGGTAAATGGGAAGTGGGAGAATTAGTGATGAGTGAGTGAGTGTGTCAGTGAGGGCTTTGCCTTTTATAAGTATAGATCATCAGGTTTTAATGGCGTGTACCTCACCTAATTCATGTCCCACATTAATATTTGAAACATGTGCTTAATAAGCATGATTCGAAGTTTTATAATCACCTGTTCAATAGTGTCGAGGTTTTTTCTTGGACGTGTTTGCATCATTTTCAAAATGATTAAAATTCCAGAAAAAACATTTTGTGTAGTTTATTTTTAATAACTGCCCAGCGTGAGTTTCGGGGGCACTTTAGACAGACTCCTCCTACACAACAAAGCATTTTAAGGTGGTATCGCCAGTTTAAGAACTCTGGAAGTGTATTAAAAAGTAAAATTAGTGGCCGCACAAGAGTTATCTTAAAAACTGAGGTGGATTGGCAAATGTAACGATAATGACTTTACCCTTCTCAAATGCCCCCCTAGATCCCCTGATCTTTCGGCGTGTGATTTTTTCCATGGGGCTATGTAAAAGACAAAGTTTATATACTGCCAATGCCTCAAACACTTCAAGAGCTCCGTGGACGAATTCGTAATGCCGTGTAGAATCAATCAACCTAGCGATGCTAGCCAGGGTATAGGACAATTTACAGCATAGATTGGAAACTTGCTCCACGGCTAATGGATGGCACATTGACAAGTTGTAGGGGTATCTATGAAAAATGTAAGAGTTCTCCTCAATGTTGATATGTTTTATAACCTTATTTGTTTAACATTAGCGTCAATAAAATTTTTTAAAACCTGATGATTCTTTTATAAACCCCCAAAAAATTGAATTGTCATAATACTGTATTTCTTGAGCAATCATTGAAAGAACCGATTTGTTAACCATGGAAACATAGCAAAGTCATAGAACGCCACCATGAATAAAGAACACCTACAATATGAAGATTCCAACAAATAATGAACAAGGATGTTAGCCAAAGTGCTACTATTTTGTAGGAAACATGGACTTACGGGGAGTCCGAGTTCCTATGCTCGGTAATGTTAGCTATATGCCACTTTATTCAGTTGATACAAGAGTTAGGACTCTGAAACTTTTTATGCTTTCAGTTTAACTAAATTACTATACACAGACACAAGGTTATTGCCAAAATACTATTTAAAAAAATTTGGGAATATTTTTAATTTCGCCAAATTTTTACCTTAAAAAAGTATAGAAAAAATGTATTTTACATGTAATGGTTCTAAACAGAATATGAAAAAAACCCTGTGTCTGTGTTTAGAGTAAGGTACAACAAATACTTGGTAAAAGTTTCATTGATGTAAGTTTGTTGAGCCCTGAGAAAAATGACATCAAACTTTATAAATAGTATATTTCGGTTATCGCGAAAATTGAACATCTAACTAAGTAATGTAACTTAATCCTACCTTTAGTAATGTCCTGCACTATAAGATGGGTTGTCAGGATCTTCTTGGTCTTCAAATATGTCATCTAGTTTTCTTTTCTTCAATGTTCTGGCTTGCCTAATTTTTTTTTTCTAGGTCCTCAGTGGATTTCTCGGCTTTACGGAGCCGTATTTTTTTCAACTTAGTCATGGCAATAACTAAATTCTTGCCTGGGCTCAAGCCCAGCTGCTCCATTATTTGAACTTTGCTTATGAACCCATCATTGAAGGTGCACACAGCAGTATATACACCATATTTCAGTGTGGGAAGAGTGACATTGTTGAATGGCTCATTTGGGTTCTGAGTTTTACCTTTCGTACATTTTTCTAACAATTCAACTTTTACTAAAGTTTGTTTGCTCAACAATGCTAATACATAATGACTGATTACCTATTTACTAACAAAGTTCTATTACAATGACTTATTTTGCTTTATCAAAAAATACATGAACATTCTTTAGGACCTATTTTAATTGACTAGATGTTCTGATTAGGCATGTTTGGATTCGTTGGACTCTAAAACAAAGTATTAAAAAATATGTAAATGTGTGTGTGGTTACTTACTTGTAATGAAACAGAAAATATGTCCGAGGTCATCCGTTGAAACCTGGCCAGTTTTGTTTTTGAAAACACACAAGTGCTTTTTTTCAGATGACAGTTTACATTTATTGGTTGTGGAGTGTGGTGTGTAGATTGGGAACTTGGAGAAGTTAGGGAAACTGGAGCAGAAAAAGTTCTTGAAGAAGTTTGGGAAACTGGAGCAGAAATAGTTTTTGGAGAAGGAAAAGGAAAAGGATTGTAGATTGTAGATTGTGGATTCATGGTTTGGTTTGGTTCGTCATCGCTGTGGTCATCATCGTTGTAGTCAATGTTGTAGAGGTTGTCATAATCATTGTTGTCACAATCGTTTGCGTGGTCATCTTCAAATTGAAACACCTTTTTTGATAATTTTTTTACTATTATTTTTTGATACTTCATCCTCAGATGAGGTGAGACTGTGTCGTTTTTTGGTGAATCGGGTCACGTTCAGCATACCACGATCATAGTCATCTGAAAAGTTATACAATTTTATAATAATTTGAAAAAACTTTAGGAAAAGCTCAAGTAAAAAAATGAATAATCTTTAATGCATGACATGTGATATATTAATACAAATACATGGGCAAATATCAAAATTGGTCAAGGCTTTCAGCAGCTATCGTGATTACACAAACAAACAAATTTGGTTTCACTATTCCTGAGGAATAGGTTTTAGCTTCCTTTGCTTGCTCATCTAAGTCAAGAATCAAGAATTTATTGCAACAAATTACAAAAAGAACATTTTGTATGAGGTCAATATGAGAGTAACTTAGGCTAAGAAGTCTCAGTAATCTGCAAGGATAAAATGTCCAGTGGTTAGCATATTAATTAGGGCCTATAACATTCAATAACTTAGGCTACAAATAATTTAAACAACATAGTAAGTTACAGATTTAAGTAATTTAATTGTAACAAACAATATATTGGCTACACAAATAGATAATTTTCCCAACGCTTCAAAGAACACAACACTAGTCACTAAAAAAATCCTACATCAATAGTAGCAAGACGCCTCAAACAAAACCATACTCATTCAATAACATTCCCCGATTCCCTTACCATCCTGAATAGAACCCAGTCAAAAACCACAGCCAAAATACAGGAAAGCTACCAAGTCTATAAACATGTTACCGAATCTGGACCCGATAGCCTACTTAACATAAAAGAGGACTTCAATAACTCCATCATTTTTAAGATCATGTACGAAATAGAAACTAACCGATTTGGCAACCCCGCAGAAATTAGACAACGTCGCAGATACAACAATTCTGGGAAATCCACACCCCAACCCGTCCAGCCATCAGACACTGTCTCTGTCAGTCTAACAACGTTCCCGGCACAAGCAAACTCCCCGCGCTCGCAACACACGCCCGCCGCGCCGCGAGTGTAAACGCTACGATGTGAACCGGTACAGTGACTATCGTGTATATAAACAGTATATATATTAGAATGTAAGTGTAGGATAGTGAACTCTGAAGATACCACAACCTGTGGCGAAATGCGCATCAGACATCAAAAAACTACAAGAACCTCATGGCAAAAAAACCAAAAAGGTATTTCACCATCACTTTCACTGGAAACGTAGTCAATGTCTGGTTTTTTTTTTCTTGCGGGGGAACAAGACTTTAACAGCTGATCTTTTAGTTCCTTT